ATGAGTATGGCCGGGTTCAAACAGGTCGAACTCGGACCCGGAGTCTCCGAACCCGTGAAATTGCGGTTCGGTTCGATGAAAGCGAACCCGGGTTTTACGTGTAAAGAAGAGGGAGGCCGGCTCGGGTTCGGTTGGATGGGTCGCGTGCTGGTTATGGTGTCTGCGTGGCGTTAGGCTGAGGCTATCATTATTATCATCACCTACTTTCTTTCTGATGAATTTTTTTTTTATAATTATTAATACTTTTCCCATGATTAGTCGTAATGATATCTGCATTAATTGAGTATTAATGGGGATATTATTTGGCAGTTATAGCTGCATGGTGTGATCAAGAATCGAGCCATATTGTACGATTTAATTCCAAATATTATTAATTGTTAAATATTTAATGTGGGTTGTATGGGGGAGAAGTTCGCTGCATTTGCGTTTGTGTGCCGGCTCATATTTTTCTTGAGACCGAAGCTACTTGTTAATGTTCACTCGTGGTTGACAGCTGGGGTATTTGATTTGATCCATTAGCTCACAACGAGGATGGCTTAGTCTTAATTAGCGGATTAAGGGGAATGAAGGCTAAATCTAATGCGGATTAATGTTAGATTTTGGTTGGATGTATATGAATTGGTTAATGCTCGGTGAGGAAAGAGACGGACAAGTGGCCTTGATTTTTTTTGCTTTGGGAGATTAGTAACGTTGCGTATTTGAAGGCAGGCACATGCACTCTACCCATTAATGCGGCTGTATATAATATAATGCATCTCACCACTATTTGGCTTTTCTCCCTTCCTTTTTCCGCCCTCTTGCGCGTTTCTTTTCATGCTGCAAAATGTGAGGCCAAAAGATAGGATTCGGATCCTCTCCACTACAAAAAAAATAGTGTAGAGATCACTACACAATCACAGCCATTGATTATCTAGTTGATGGTTATGATTTTTTCTTTTAGTGCAAATTAGGAATGAGTGCAATATACGGGGGTATGGTAAGTATTAGATTTAGATTGTATCATAACCGCCTACTAAATAATCAATGCTTGAGATTAAAAGTAGTGGTCTCTCCACTACTTTTTTTGTAGTGGAGAGGATCCAAATCCAGATAGATAATGCCCGCTATTATTTTCTAATAAAATTTGGGAATTTCTACTTGTCGGGTCTCTCTCTCTCTCTCTCTCAAGTTTGAGGCTGGCGTTGCACGGGCTATGGAAATTTTATTAAAAGACTTTTTTTTTTCTTTTTAAGAAAAAGAAAACTGTAAATGATTATTGCATGTTTCATGAATTGGAAATAAGCCAACTTTTTGCCCTTTCTTTGTTTGCTGAAAAGATGTAGAGAGTACCTCTCCAATGTCCAGTGCATTTCATGCTACATTCCAAAATCAAGAAACTGTACACAACTCTTGCTTTTAGACTTTTTCTGGTGTAAACCTCAATTCACTGCAATAACCAAATATCTCACAAATATAAGAAGATTGGGAATGTGGGCGGGGTGGGGGGTGGGGTTGAAGGATCTCCATCACTGGTGGGTGACCAAATTCTCTCCCTTGTAACACAAATATCTCTATGTAACCCTCTGACATGTGGGTCCCCTTTAAATTTGAATATATAAGTTTCTTATTTTGACATTCGCATAGAAACAGAGTGCTCTTAGCCATTCATAAAAGAGTGGGAGAATACTTTTTTTTAGGGGGGGTGGGGTTGGTTTAATGATATCCATCTTTAAGAGAGGCCGAATCAATAAAATCATCTTTAAATTTTTTAATATGTGAACTATTTTATAATTGAGCTTAGCATTCAATCAACCTCTTTTTGTTAAATTCTACTCAATTAATGTCTTCATTTTCCAAATTATCACAATTAATTACACATGTAGTTGAGAAATACGTGTTGGGCACAAAGGATGGTTTTTATCGATTCAAACTATTTTAAAGATCCTAGTTTGTAATTCAAAACACCCTACTTCGTAATCTTAACTTTGTGGCCGGTCTATATATCAATTACATACATTGGACATGTGCAGCTTGCGTATTCTTGTGTCATCGTAAAACAAAAATATTTAAAGTAAGTTAAAGGGGTGTTTTGGCGCTCTATTGGAGACGCCCTTATTGTCAGACCCAATTCCTATTCTTATTAGCACAATTATTTTTTTTTTGAAAACTTTTTATGCAAGGTCTTATGAGAAGAAATATAGAAATAAACTTTTTTTTTCTTTTGTTATTTATATTTGTATTAATAATATATATTATTTTATATTAACTATTATAATGAAATTAGAGTATAAAATAATTATTAAAATAAAATTCAACAATGGAAAAAAATAGATAATTTAATCCAAACACTTAAAATTTCATAATACTAGAACCAAATGAAGAAATAAGAAAAACTACACCATTTAGATAAAAAATACAACATAAACATTAGGACATAAAAAGATTACACATAAATTAGGATATTAAAAATTACCACTAATTGCAATACATTAAAATTAAAGAAAATAGAATATGTTACATAAACTAAAACAACATTTCAGTATTCTAGGAAATTATCATCAGAAGGCCGAAGATGCTCGAGATGCATTAATTGATCATTTGTGGGATGAATATACTAATTCAGAGACTTAGCATTTTATCAATATGGACTGCGTCTTTGTGTTTTATTTTATGTTAAATGTAATGCCTTTTATTTTTTGCTTGCAAGCGTGATGTTTTCTTTTGTGATGTTAAATGTAATCTTTAGTTGAATTTATGAAAGTAATATTTTAATTTGATTTAGCATTTAATTTTTATATTTTTATTTTATTCATAAAATATATTATTATAATTAATTATATGTAATTATTATATAATTATATAAATTGTTAAATATTTTAAATAGATAAAAATGTTAAAGATAAGAATAATAAAATGAATATTCTTTTTTGTGTAACATTTGGTGTAATGGATTGGAGATGAAATAGTGATTTGGTGTAAAAACTACATCAACTTGGTGTAAAAACTACACCATTTTGGGTTTTTGGGTTAAAGATGCTCTAACAAAATTGTAAATAAAGAATTTTTTATGAATCCTATTCTTAAGTTTGGTTCACCAAAAATTTATAGATTTTGAAATCTATAATATTGAAACATCCTGGTCGTTTGGATCACCCATGTTGGGAAGTTTTTCGTGAAGCAGTGAGATCAAATAGTTCAGTGACGTTATAATGGACCGATGAAATCCTCTGCTCTTCAGGTTTGGTACTAGGCTGTTTCTGACTTTACGTCATTTCAAAATAAAATTAAGTGCAAAAAAATACATTTGAAATTGTTATCACAGTGCAAATAGTCAACTTCAATAAATTTTGTAACTGCAAGTAAGTTTCCCGAGAGTTGACCAATAGAAGAAGAATCCAGTGAGCCAGTACTCCTACTACCTATACATAATTTATTTTGCTGCTTAATTTGGGAGCAGACTAGTCTTTTTGAAATTTCTAATCTGAATTATGTTAGACTGGCAGCTAGCTTATGAAGTACTAAACCTTGAATTAGTCGGTTGTTGAGACTTTTTCGCTTAAGTTCTGAAGGAAGCCGAGCAGCTTACTAAATAGAATAAAGCCTACAACTGCATCTCCTCTCATTTGTGCTATATATTTAAGAAAAGTCCCCCAAATTTTTCGATTTTTCATAAATTCTAGAGATGTCTTTGCATTTTAAACAATCAAAAGAAACATCTGTAAACTTGAAGAGTGGAAACGTCTAATACTTAGAAGAATCAACGTATATGTTGTCCAGAGGGCTTTTTCTTGTTGATAAAATCGTAAAGTTAAATTATTTTCCTAACAACCCCTAAGCTTAAGCTTTTTCTAATATTTTGAAGGTTAAGTGGGGTTATCTGATAATCATCCAAAGCTAATGGCAATTTTCTAATATTTACCCAATTATATATATGTTGGCCTTCTTGTTTTGATGATGCTTAACAAACAATTTACTTCTAATGTTGTTTGTCTAGTATTTGTGTTTTCTTATTTATTGTAGACAAACAACGTTGTTGGAGGATAGATGGAATAGAGCTTCAACGATGATATCCAATGGAGGTTGGCGGAATGTCGGTGAAGCCTTGCTATTCAAAGTTCAAGATCCAAGTTAAAACTTCATCCGAGAGATTACCTAGAAGAGCTTATTGAAGATCAAGATCTAGCTTGGGTAATTTAGTTTAGGATTTATATTATGTGTGTTAAGTACGTTAAGCTCAATATCTATACACACACATTTTATTGGTTTCTTCGTATATATATATAGTTATATATATACATAAGTTTTGGTTTCTATGCATATATATATATAGTTATATATATACATACATGTGTTTTGAGTTTTTATGATTATATATATGAAATTATATATTTCATATTTTCTATTGTGTTTTTGAAAACATTGCATAGAATATGCAATTTTGTGAAAATATTGTTTTATTAGTTTATAGACTTCAATATCAGTTCATACATGTTTTACTAAGTCTATAATATCATTTTGTAAAGTTTCAAGAGTTGGTTTAGCCAAAATGTCAAAATTCACATGTTTACATTTTCGTACATTTTTGTGTTTTGGACTATTTTGCTAAATGATGATATTTTTCATTTGGGAAGTCCTTTTTCGAAACCAGTCATTGTAGCATGTTTATTATCATGTCTACAATCATTCTCCAAAGTTTTACATTTTTTGGAATTTATTTGATATTTTTAACCAGTGTTTCAAAATCAGATGTACGGCTTTCAAAACTGTTTTTCAGAAGTATCAGTATTCGGTCGACCGCACCGGTCGACCGAACCTGAGTTCAAAACAGAGAGTCTGTCGGTCGACCGGTCCGGTCGACCGAAAAACTCCATCGGTCGACCGCACCGGTCGACCGACGATGGTCCAGAATGTTTTCCTCGTGTTTTTGCTCTCATCGGTCGACAAACGGAATTTTCGGTCGACCGACAATAGATCCGTTGGGCACAACGGCTACTTTTCTGAGGAGCTTTCTGGGGGCTTTGTTGTCCTTTGGCTTGGGGTTTTTGGCTGAGTTGTGAGAGGGTATAAATACCCCATTGTCTTCAACTCTCAAGTAATCTAAGAATGTTTTAAAAGAAGTTTTTAAACAAGGGTTTTAAAAAGAGTTTAAGACGTTGATCGGTGAGCGTTGAAAACCGATACTGTGAGGTGTAAACGTTATTCGGGTGAACGTAGAAAACCCGGTTGTGATAGTGGATTTCTCCCCGGGAGTGGGGAGCGGAGACGTAGGACGGAAGGTCCGAACTCCGTGATCATATTGCTTGTTTGAGTTTGTCTTTGGCGTATTTGTTTTTGCATTTATCTTATATCGCCAATTGTGCATTACTCATTTATTTCATCCACTATCTTGTTTAGATTATTTACCCTTGTGTTGTTTATATATCCTTGCATATATCTCTATCATATAGGATATATCTCATTGTTCATATTGTTTATCCTAGCTTACATATCTTGTTGTATTTCATACTTGCTAGGATAACTTGTTAATAAGTTTTAATTGGCATTTAAATCGTATTAGATTAGCATAAGACCCTAATCACCCCCCCTCTAGGGTCTAACAATATATATATATCAACCACATGTTCTAAACCCCTACTTGCACGGATGGATTTGATTTCTTTTATGTGTATATGTTGGTTTCTGTTTCAATTTGGTTACTTTTCTGAATTAAATATTGTGGAAATTCCTTCTTTTTTGCAATTCAAATTTTTAGGGGGTTGATTTGTAGTTTTCACGTCTAAAGGGGTTGTGTTGTGGTGTTTTCAGTCGCCAAATTATGATATCTTGTCAACAACAAACAAGTATCCCCCATTATCCCTAATTCAGTCGGCTCGATACTTGTGACAGCCAGGGTCCCGATCTAGCCAACTCACCGAGTCAACATCTCGTCGGGTCGACTCAAAAGGTGGTACTTGTCAGTCCTCTCATCAAGGACGACTCGACGCAAGCCTACTCGACTAGTTATTGGGCCGACATCTCATGAGAGACGACTTGAAAGACGGTACCTCTCAGCACCCCTAGATACAAGCCAAAAGACGACTGCGACCTTGAGACCCCCGCTGGCAATGCGTCAACATCACATTAAATACTTGACATGCGCCATCATTTCTCCATCGCTGACACTATTTATGACACATCGGACCACACCGGCTTCACACGCCGCCTGTCCCATCTCATTAATGTTGAAGTGACGTCGCTCATTCCGCGACCACTCCATACCCAACCAAAGAGACCAAAATATCGTTCCTCCATGACTATAAAAGGAAAAACTATTCCCAACACGAAGGTAAGCAATTTCTCTACA